CTCTTGGGGGGGAAAGGGGTGTGGGAGATGCAGGAAGAGACTGGACAAAAATCGTGCACCTATGGATGAGGACAGTGGGTGGGGAGTGAGGGCGGAGGGTGGGGCGGGAACTGGGAGGAGGGGAGTTATGAGGGGAAAAAAGAGGAACAAATGTAATAATCTGAACAATAAAGATTTAATTTAAAAAAAAAAGAAAGTCCAACTTACAAACTTTTTCTATATAGTTTCTAAATAGTTTCTGCTTTTCCTAAGAAATCTTTGCTTATATTCCAGTATCACAAATTTTTGTTTTTCATACCCTTTGTTATTTGAGCATATGTGTTACGTTGATTCCGAGGTAGTTGAATTCTTTTGGTTTCAAGTAACACAAAGAAAAGGGGCTTTGTGATAAGGTTGCTGGGGCATTTCATGTCTCCTAAAGGCAGACATGCAGGCCGGTGTAAGAAACAGGCATTGGAAAGCCACCAGGAACCTCTCTAGCCTCATTTTTGTTTTCTTTTTCTTTTTACAGGCTGGCTTGCTCTGAGCATGTGCTCAGAGCCTATTCTACTTTCCTAGGATAGAAAATCTGATTGGTCCAGCGTGGGGTTAGAGCCCCAACCAGGTTCAGTTAGCCATTGGGGGTCAGGGTTATGGAATAGAAAACATGCCTGGGGATTGGGACCACTTCCAGGAAAAGCACGGTGGCTTGTGATCTGCTCAGACCCCCAAGATGTTGTCACTGTTCTATCATCTTCCACGCCTGGTGATTCCTTTCTGTTGCCATTTTCTGACTTGTAGCTCTCACCATTCCTTTATGCATGCTCTTCTCTTCCCAATCTGCAGCTGTATTCTTCAGCACTTGTGGAATGTGAGGATAGTGATCCAAAACATGGTTATAGAAGTTTTAATGTGGAAGCAGTAAAGAAAGAAATCTTCAGAGGAAGGCGATTGGTAAGTATAAATTATGTTATTACTTACAAAATGAACAGACCCTTGGGGGATGCCTTCAAAAGAAAGTCTATTTGATTAATACACCAAGGATAGAGATGCATCTTGGAGAGCCGAAGGAAGTGGGACCTGTATTGGAAACTCAGGTGGAACATTTAATAATTTAAAATAAACTATCAAATGCTTCATCAGCAAAGTATATATGCCTTAGAATGCTTTTGGCTGTAAGTAGGAGGGATGCCGACTCAAAATGGCTTTAACAAAAAGGATGCTTATTTTCTCACTTAGCCAGAGGAGCAGCTGGCTTCAAGGTTGGTTGTTTCAAAGGCTCAATGATGTCATCAAGGGCCCATCATCCTCTCTGCCCTCCTACCCACAAAATCAGCTGGTTCCCTTGTGGTCATAGGGTGGCTGCAGGCACCAACTGAAGCATCACAGTTTCTCGTTT